TTGCTTGATCAGGCATATGAAATTTTCAACGCTAAGCTGATTTTTTTTTAACATTTACTTTTTTAGGTTTATTTAATCAACTTTGTATCTATGTTACTTCACTCTTTTTTCTTCCATCCTCTATCTGATCTGTTGGCTACCCTCAGGAACGACCTTGATCATCTAGACGGGACTAGTGGGCTGTCCGGTTTCTCATCTCGCTACGCGGATAGCTTTAATCTCAGCCTTGATGTAATGGTCTCCCCATTCGACCGCCCTCGGGAGGCCAACTGTCTTGTTTACCCTTGGGAAACTCTTCCTTCACCATCGGTTCGTATCCCAAGGCTCTGTGTTTCTGACCATACAGAGCTAGCCAGTCTACATTCCGAGTTTCGTATGTTATCTTCACTTCTTTGTTCCTGGCTTTTACTTTATCTCTTATTTTATATATAGATAGTGATACATGTAATTATTGAATAAGAACTTATTCATCTAAGGTACTTAAGGTTACTTAATAATTTTATTGATAATTTTTTCCAGAATGAGATGAGTGAGCCCCATAATGCTATTGGATTTCACTCATTCTTGCGTCTCATAAGGTTCTTAACTCTGAAGTGGACTTTAGTTCTAAGCTCATCTTGGTCTTATCATCCCTAGCGGTGTTCGATACTGGGTCGTTTATACAGTAGAGATGTATATCTCTCAACTGCATGGCTATGGGTGCCAGTCTCGAAAACTTACTTATTTGTGATTATAATTAACGTTATTGATTGCACTGACAAACACATCTTTGCTTGATCGGCAATCACATCCCAAATGTGAGTTGGGAAGACCTAGTTTGCCTTGAATGTGACCCTATGACCCATTTGCTTTCATTGCCAGGTAGTGGAATGGAGTGGTTATATTGCCACAATACTCACGACTCGCTAACAAATCTTGCTACGGATGCTGATGAGCCCTAGGCGAGGTCGAATTTGCAGTCCACCCCCGATTATATAGCCTTTTGGGAGGCAAGGCTAGATGAAATTCATTGAAATCATGAAGGCTCTTCTTATTGTGGGAAAACTCACGTACCAGTCCTTAAATCACTTTAGGTGATCTAGGATGACTTAGCTTTTCTTCCTTCGTATTGATACGTGTTGCTGTCATCTAAGCTTTCTTATTCACGATTATGTGAAGATTGAATTTGAGCTATGCTAGACCGATCACTTTGGCCTATGTTTTAAGACTACCTGTAGAATTAACTCTGTTAGCCTACTTTAAGATACAGAGCTCAATCCTCCTGAGTAGGGTAACTGATGCTGCTGCCGCTGCATCTTCTGGGTTATTCAGGCTCTTTAGCCTGTAAACCTGCTAATTGCTTTTGGACAACTCCAGATGTGATCTTGATCACTTGTAATGGCTTCTTTTATATTATACTACTTACTACAGCCCACCGGAATGTTCGCCAAATCAAATATTCGCTCACTGTGATTTGTTGTCTGTCCTTTCATCATTTATTATTTCACGTCTCTTCGTTGTTCTTTTCATAATCCATCCGTTTTTTTATAGGTTAAACTTCGGTTATTTTGTTTCGATGCACTTAAATTATGTCTTTTGAGTTGAAAGAGAAGAATCGTCTCTTCAGCTATTCAACCTGTGTACATGTGCCCTTATACCATACTTGGCTTTACGGAATTTTTATAATTGGTCTTGAGTCTATCGGACAATTGATTCTGATTATCTCGGCAAACTCATCTCTCCTTCCTATGTGGACGTTTTTTTACTGATATTTTCATCCCAATTTATTTTTTTAGTACGTCTAGTATTTTTTGGAGTCATCCGCTCTTTATCTTGCTTGCCCCATTTTTCCCTAGCTGAACGGCGGCCAGGCCCCACAACCTCCACAACTCAAACCGTAGATTTGCCGAGCGACTTGCATCAGTCACATTTGGCAACTGCCCCCTCATCTCCTGTTAACTCTTCCCAATGCCGTTCCTCTCCTCCAGCTTATTTGATCAACTCGACCGACCTTTCTGGTTCTGTCGAACGACTAGATAATGCATCGAGTCTTTTGGAGCAAAACAGACCAATTGGAGATGATACTGATGTTGGACCAAGGTGTGAAAGCTCTTCATGCTCCTTCTCAGTGGAACCTGAGGTCGAAAACCTCGGGACTATCAAAGGATCTGAGGACCCCGAAATTAATGCAGAAGTAAATGAGGTACAGCTTAGATTGTTGGTTTTGACGGACAATACAATTTACCCATCAAATCCAATCAAAACGTACTTTAGAATTAAGTCGGCCGACAATACAGGCCGTATGAGTAAGTTAGAAATTGCGAATCACCCAGTCTGTAAATAGCACCAGTGCTGGGATATGGAATATGCTGTACATATATTCGTAGTTGGTGATCGAAGGATTTATATTTGAATTTCGTCGAAGACTTCGTTGCAATGAATTTAGTCTATTCAAATTTCTTCTGAGGCCTCATGATTTGGAGAGAGCTGCAGTTTTGATCTCTCCCAGGTTTCATGAGATCCTTCAACGGGATCTCAGTGCTGGGTTACGCATGCCTATGTGCAACATTTTACAGCTCGGCCGCATTATTTGATTGAATATAAGGCACTTTTTTATTTAAAACACATTTTTCACTTTAAACTTTTCCTGAATAATTCCCCCTTTTCGCTAGATACCTGGAACATTCATTAAATAAGTAAGCCTTGGCCCACCAAATCGTTCTAGGTCGAAGAGTCTTGGCTCATTTCAAGATCGAGTTCAATTTGAGAATGGTTTCTTTATCAGAATATATCTGCCTTGTATTTATTTACTGGTATCGGTGGACTGCCTCGGAGACTGATACGCTAATAATTCACCTTATTAACATAGCAATGGTCTTAAAGCTTCTTTAACATTCTCGTACTAAATAGCTAAAAATGAAAACAAACATATTTATGCAAAAAATGCGTACGTTTAAGTTGGTTTTGTCTTGAAGATGATAGCGATTGATCTATATCCAGTACGCTTGTTTTCTTGGTAATTCTTCTTATTGCCTCCTTTCCTTAAAAGAGATTTATGCACGAAAATTTTCGTTTCTTTTCTGATTAATTATAATTTGTTATTTAATTTGTTAGATCTCACAAAATGTACCCATACACTGTGTTATTTCACCTTTCGAATTCGACTGAAGGATAAGATGTGATAGTATTTGCGAAGAAAAGTTGGGTTTCGAGGAATCTCTTGCTTCATAATTATTGTGATAGTATTCTCTTTTTGATAAAGCTAACAAATGCTTCGTATTTATCTTGTCTATATATACATTTTACTTCCTTTAGTAATTCACCCATTGAAGGGACTTTTATTTCTCTAACTATTCCCATGTAGTTATAGCCAATATTTCATTTGTTTTTTTAAATTTTGCCACTTGGTTAAATCACATCTGAACCTTTCTGATGGCAGATTCCCTTTGTTTTATTACTTTTTTACTTCCTTAGTTTGATGTCGCCTTATAGATGTATTATCACGAATTATCCTATGATTCGTCTGCATCACTATTGATTAAAACTTGGCATCCATTACTCATTCAACTTCTGAATGGTTAAAGTGAGTTTTGTTAGTGAGGTGATAGACATCTGAATTAATAGGCCTCTTATCCACCTTATCCACTAATTATTCTCGTGGCCAAGTAATGTCTAAAATATCTCCATCACGTTATTAATTTCTGGTAGACCCTATATTTAGGCATTTTCTTCTACGGAACTCCTAATCTGAACTTCTCACTTATGTGGATAAATGCACAA